ATCTGTTTCCCTTCTTCTTTAAATGTGTAAAACATTTTAAATCTCTTTGGGAATACATAATCCCATATACTTCTTTGAATAAAAGAACTTCAACTTTACATCCTTACTGAACTCGAAGCTTAAGTCTTAAAACAAAGTTAAAACATTTGTGAAAGACTTTAGAAAACTTTAAGAACTCATCTTAACTTGACTTTTGACTTTTATTAACTCTGACCTTAACTGCTCTTGACTTGACTCTTAACTGATCCTTGAATTGAATTATGGATTCAAGGATTAAGATTTGTGACTGGAAAGATCTCATGATGTTTAGGAATGATTTTAGATAGTTAAACATGAGAAAAGACCAAAAAATCAATATTTGAAGGTGGGTCCGCGACGCGGAGGCATAATTTAATTTTGGTTCCAAAAACGTCTTTTGAGGCAGAACACCTCGTGTCAGCTCCGCGACGCGAAGCTGAGATGCTCAAATCTGGGCACTAGACGCCCGACGCGCGGCCACCTTCCAATTTCATCCGACGAAATTTCTTCTTCGTTTTCCAATCCCAATTCACCCAAAACTCGATTCTTTTTCTCAAATTTCTCTTAGATATAGATACCCAGCAAATGTACCTAATAATCTAACTCGAAACGACCCTATAATGCAACGTAACGAACTCAGAAACTCCTAACTCAGTCAAATTCAAGAATAATATATGAATTCAAGAATAGGTATCAAGATCATCAATATTCAAATGCTTTTAGGACGAATCCAAACTGAAATAAATATGCTTGGCACGTGGGAGAACGATCCCAACGTTATGAGAGCCTCACATACCTGATAGAAGTAAATCCTTGGCGAAACACCAAGTTCCTTGATCGATCTTGATGAATTTGCCCTTTTCTCCTTCTTCTTTTCTCTTCTCCTTTTTCCTTAACCCTAGCATGAAATCCCAAGTTCTAAAACTGACTAAGTTCTAAATTGAACCATATTAAACTCCTAAAATCAGATTAAAATAATAGGGCAATGAAAAGACTAAATTACCCCTTATATTTCCGGATTGGACATTTCCTTAATCCAGTAGCCCAACTTCTGAAAGGCATATCTCACTCATATGATGTTGAAATTGCGCAAACTTGGCGGTGTTGGAAAGATCTCTCCAAGGGATTTCCAACCATATCAAGAGCTGCTCCTAAATCATCCTGAGCTAGGAGTTATGGCCTTTTGAAAATAGCCAAAACTCACTTTCTTAACTTAGACAAAAAATTCCAGATTTCCTTTTTCTTTCCAAAAATAACTATTTCCAGATTTTAAACTTCTTTCTAGTTGTGAGATGTTACAGACAAGGCCCTAACCTACCTAAAATATATAAACAACAAAGCAAGAAAACCTCTTGGACTCAGATAATCTAGGAAGAAAAGACTCATCAATTAGATAGACGATTGTGATACTCGACAGGTTTGTCTGATAGTCTCTCAGTAGCTACATGCATGAATGAAGCTCCCCCTTGTAAGCTAAAACTGAAGTATAAAGACTGAACAAAAAGGGCGAGAGTAAAATAGAATTACAATATCTTATCTTCTTGAAATAAAACATATAAACACGTAATATATAATAACTTGACATGACCCCCACAAGCCCGAAAAATACAAACATTACTCAATTACTTTAAGTTTAACAAGCACAAAAAGTCGTTAAATACCCATACCGACCCACTTACCTGGATCCCAATGATAGTTCGATCTAAATTGTCTGAATGTTCACATGTCGTTAACATAACACTTAGGCTCTGTAGTACAATATGAGTGTTTCTCCTCATGTACAACCTGTCTTTCTCGTAAGTACGATCTAACCGATTGGTAGGCACGATAATCAATGTGTAGGCTTTGAAATCCAGCAGTGTCGGTGTTATCCTAAGGATAAACTCGTAACGACCTAAACTGTCATTACTCAAAGGCAACTCATGAGGAATTTTAGAATTCTTGAAAATGCATTGCAATTTAAAAGTTGGGTACATAACGATTTTGATAAAAGAAAATGGAATTGATTCGGGATGACGTCTTCCCTCCATAGTGGGAAGCCTCTTGTTATGGCGACGCCGCTATAGCGCCTTCATCTCCTCTATAGCGAGGCTGACGAAATCAGATTCTAGACAAATGATGTCTTTTATTATTTCTCTCACATGAAGTAAATGTGCGATAATTGCTTTGAAAATTCTACTAAGCCATTCTTAACTTGGAAACCATAGAGGGAAGAGATTTTAGCGTGAGAAGGGTTAAAATCCAGAAATTACTGATCTACGATCATTAAGATTTTTCCACGCAACCAAAAACCTTGGTTTGGGGTTCTTCTACAGTTACTTGACATCCAGATAAGCTAGATTTTCTTAACTGAATAGTTAGGCATGTCTAATTTTCTTATAGATTAATGGGAGATTTCATGCATAGGCCTTCAGATACAATATCTAGTTGGTTGAATATGTGGTTAGCTGTGATTTAGGCCAAGAATGTACTGACTAGATATTGTTGACGGTATGATATGGATGGATGTTATCTTGAGGAAGGAAAATGTGGTGATTGGCTTATGCATATGAAATATTTGAAAAGAAATTCTTTAGATAGGTGTTGGTTGTTGTTTTCCTAGTTTATGTTATAGATGCATGTTAACTGCTTTATAATATTACATGTGCAATACATGTAAGGAAAACATAAGGGATGAATGACTACTTTATATTATGGGGTAGATTCGGGTTGACCGATAATGACTATTAGTACATATTGTTTGTATTGATACTACTCTTGCTATGTCACTTCACATAATCTAATTACAGGATCAGTGATATTTCTCAGGTGAAGACGTTGAGGATCTCGAACAGCTTCTACTCTTTCTATCATTTGGGTGGAAGTTTGTCTTATTTCAAGAGTTCTCTACATATTTATAGATAAGTCCCTTTTCTAGAATTCTCTACATAACTAGTAGATTTCAAGGACCTTCCATACAAAACATGAAATTCAAAAGTCTTTAAAGAAATTCTACATATATCTCTAGAATATTCTACTAAGAATTATTCTTCATCCAAGTCTTTCACATTGACAACTTTATGCCACATGGCACTAAATGTCATGATGATGTGGCGGGTCATCACGCTTTACTCTTCCCTTCTTCTTTTTTACTTCCATTGATTTTGATGTGATTCTTTTTTTCACTAATGATCCTCTTTATTTATATATGTTTTTTTTGATCTATTTTGATTTTTTTCTTCCACACTAGTTCAAGGTCTAGCCATAACTACTTCTTCATCTCCAACTTAAGTTTGAAGCCTCAGTTATTACTTTTCTTTACCCTCCTCATCTATAACCTAGGTTTCTAAGCCTCATCTTACACTTTATGTATCAAAGAGGAACAAGTTCAAAATTATTTTCAAACAAGGGATATAAGTTTTCAGTTATGAATATCCAACAAAAAGGTTTATAATCTCAAATTGGTAGACTAGGAATATTATTATGATTTAAAATGTTCATTTCGGTTAATAGTGACTTTTGTTCCACCACATATTCCTTTCTAAAATAAGCACTATATGACAAGAAACAGTCTATAATCTACCTAACTAGTTTTATAAGGGAGAATATGATATCCCATGTGTTGACAAAGGTTGAGTCAACCGATATAAATATTCACCAAATACGTGATGATTTAGCAAGTATTAGGTAGATGATGAACTCACATTCTATGACCATCAAGTAGATAAAATTCAAATGGACCTTATTTCATTATATTTGGATCACATAATGAAAGATAAGTATCCAAGCAATTATGACAAAAATATCAAGTGCATAATAGTTATTGAAGATCACATTCAAATATGTATTTAATAAATCCTGTACATGATCTAGTTTTGGTGATAGACGGTTGGTTTACATTAGTTTGTTAACCATTGTGTTAGTTAGTTAGTGAACTCATAGTTTTTAGGCAGTTAGCATATTCTTTTCTCTCTCTAATTGATCATGTACAGTTGGCTCACTCATTCACTTGTATATATACTTCACTACTAATCAATAAACATGTGAGTTCTCATTTTACACAAATTTACAATTCTCTCAAGCTTCTTCTTCATTCAGTGCTTAGCTATGGCTTCCTTGCCTTATTTTGGGTGAAGTTTCACCATCGATATGGAATTCACTATGGTATCAGAGCAAGATTTTTCGATTTGATCTCTTAGTCTTCATCACTGTTAATCACTGATTAGTTGTTCCTATTTTGTTTTTGGATTTGATCATGTTCATCGAGTTGTCTCAGAGATTGGTATTCTCTTTGTGTTCTTATTTTTGCTATGAGTTACTGCTCAATTTAGGATTCTTTCTTTTTTATTATTTTTCGGTCAATCCAAACACACATTCATGGCTGTTGGCGAAAGTTCATCTGCTTCTGAAGGAATTAATAATGTTGTTGGTAATGACACAAATAGTTCCTTGTATGTGCATTCCTCGGATAACCGATGCTTGTTCCTACTTAACTTGATAAAGCATGATATCGACCTGGAGAAGAGGCGTTATGCGAGCCCTATCAGTGAAGAACAAGTTTGGTTTCATCGATGAAAGTTGTGTGAAACCAAGTGCGAATTCGTCTTAACTCCGTCATTGGCAGAGATGTGATGATATGGTAACATCATGGATTTTGAACTCATTAACTAAGGAAATTTTAGATAGCGTATAGTATGTCAATGACTCAGTCAAACTTTGGAAGGAATTAGAGGATAGATACGATCAAACAAATGGGGAAAAATTGTATCAAATACAGAAAGAAATCAATGATCTCACACAAGGAGTGTTGGACATCACTGTCTATTACACAAGAATGAAGAAGTTATGGGAGGAATTAAGCACCTTGAACTTGAGAAATCAATGCAGTTGTATCTGCAACTGTGGTGCAAAGGACAATATGCACAAGGCAGAACAGGACAGATGCTTGATTCAATTTCTCATAGGGTTAAATGAGGTATACACTATGGTGAGAGGTAACATTCTCATGATAAACCCACTCCCTTCCATGGCAAAAGAATTTTCATTGTTGATCCAAAAGGAGAAACATAGAGTGTTCAGATCTATTAGTCGAATGCCTATGGATTCAACTTCTTTGAATGCAGGTGTCTTAAATAACAAGGTTCAAGCAGGAAGAGCCTCAGGACAAACTATCAAAAGAGCAGTTATGGGAAGCAACAACAACTCATGAAGAAACAATAACTATGTAGAAAACAATTATTATCAAGGCAATTACAGTAGTAGAAATGCCTTGGCCTGTGAATTTTGTAAGAAACCAGGACTCACTAGAGATAAGTGTTATAAGTTCCATGGATATCCACAACACAACAACAATCAAGGCTACAAGTCAAGTGGCTACAACAATGGGCAAGGTTATAGACATAACAATCAGAATTGCAAGGGAAAAATGGTGGTGGCCAATGTACATAGTGTTATTCCTACCGACATGATGTTTACTTAAGGTGAAGAACAAGTGCAAAGCAACAATCACCAAAATTCTATCACAAATGAGCAGTACAACCAAATAATGGATTTAATACAACATTTCTAGAATGAAAACACAAGTGAGGATCCAAGTAACTCAAGTGTCAGTGCTGGTTCCATGAACTTTGCAGGTATTTTAGTGCGTTCCTCCTCTATTGATTTTGACAATCATTCATGTAAATGTTTTCAATCAAATATTGATATGTGGATCATAGACTCAAGAGCATCTAACCATATAACCTTTCCCTAATCAATATTAAGGCTCTACCTTATCCTATATTAGTTTCACTCCCTAATGAATACAAAGTCAAGGTGACAGAGTTTGGTGATGTACCAATTACATTTGATATCATTTTACATGAAGTGTTGTATGTGCCTTCTTTTAAGTATAACCTTGTTGCAATTCATTCCTTGACTACTTCCATGAAATGCACAGTTTTATTCACTAGTGTGTAGGCCCCTTCAGTGAAGAGGCCTTAGGTGATTGGTAACAACAGAGATGGACTTTATTTTATGTGCTCAAGTTGTCTAAGGATTGCCGAAAGTGTCACTAAAAACTCTATAGGTTGTTGTTTTTCTAGTAGTAATAATGGTCTCCTGTCAAATTCCATTGGAAGTAGAAATTACATTTCTTTTGTTACTGAATCTTTTCATGTAGGTAAATGTAAGATGTTGAATACTGATGAAAATGTGTCTCATACTATTCACATTCCTCTTGTATGCACTTCTACTTCCAATAATAAAAGTGTGTTGTTTGATAAGAATTCTTGTGTAACTGCAAGAAACAATGTGGATTTGTTGTGGCATAATAAACTTGACCATGTGCCTTTTGTTAAAATGAAGAATATTTCTACTCTCCCAGTAAACTTTTCCCCAAAACAACCATTCATGTGCACCATATGCCTAATGGTAAGACAAGAAAGACTACCTTTTAGTCAAAGTACCAGCCAAACTAAGTCTAGATTTGAAATTTTTCATGTTGATTTATGGGGACCATACCACATCTCCACTTATGACAGCTACAAATACTTCATCACACTGGTAGATGATTATAGTAGGTCCACCTGGACTCACTTGTTAAGTACCAAAAGTAATGCTTTGCATGTACTGAAAGCTTTCACAAACATGGTAGAAAATCAATTCAAAACCACAGTTAAGTGCATAAGATCTGACAATGGCCTAGAGTTAACCAACAATGAAGCAAACCTTTTTTTCATGACCAAAGGTATAATCCATCAGAAAAGATGTCCATACACACCATAACAAAATAGTGTGGTGGAAAGAAAACATAAGTATATGTTAGAGATAGCTAGAGCTCTTTTGTTTCAATCAAAACTACCCCTAAAATATTGGGGAGAATGTGTTTTAACAGCCACTACTCATATCATAAACAATCTCCCTTCAGCACAACTCAAAAACAAATGCCCATATGAGTTGCTGCATAACAGAAAACCAGACTACCCCCAACTTAGATCATTTGGATGTCTTTGATATCCAACTGTACCTAACGTTCTGAGAGATAAACTTGAGTCTAGAACAACCCACATATCTGTGGGATATCCTTTTGGAACAAAAGGGTATAAGGTAATGAGGTTTGCTACAAGGAAAATACTTGTTTCTAGGGATGTAGTTTTTCATGAGGATATCTTTCCCTTTAATTTATTTGCTGAAAAATGCACCTTTCAATCTATTATGAAGTCTGTTGAGTCTATTTTTCCTAGTACCAATTCTGAGTTTATAGATCATATTGAGTCTAGGTCCTATGACATATTTGTGAATGAATACAAATGTGAAATTGGTACAAACACTGCCTCATCCCTTGTTCATGAACATCAGTCATCACAATCATCACCTCCACTTCCCATTAATCATGTACCACCATTTCCAATTGAACTATCTTCTTAACATGATCTTTCTTTAATAGTGCAGAGAAGATCTCATAGAGAAAACAAAGTTCCACACCACCTAAAAGACTACATTGTATCCATTCCCAATCTAAAGAATCCTAACTCCAATTCCAACCTTTCACTCACTACCTTATTAACAAAACATCATAATATATCTCCTGATGTCATTACATCTAACAGTCAAATACTTGTTGAGAATATTTGTCATGACAGTGATCCATCATCATATGAGAAAGCATCTCTCAGTCCTGCTTGGCAAAGAGCCATGACACTGGAGTTTAAAGCACTTTATGCTAATCACACTTGGGATCTTGTTAAGCTACCAGCAGGCAAACAAACAATTAGATGTAGATGGGTATATAAGGTCAAACACAGGGCAAATGGGAGTATTGAAAGATTCAAGGCTAGACTAGTTGTCAAAGGTTACACACAACAAGTTGTATTAGATTATACATAGACATACTCACTTGTGGTTAAGATGACCAATGTTAGGACCCTAGTAGCTTGTGTTGTTAAAAGAGGATAGACTGTGTCTCAACTTGATATTAATAATGCTTTTCTTCATGGTGATCTCTATGAGGAAGTCTACATGAAAGTACCACAGGGTCTTGAAGTACATGATACAAGTATGGTTTGCAAGCTTACTAAGTCCCTCTATGGCCTAAAGCAGGCTAACAGTCAATGATATGCCAAGTTAACTGAGGCCTTATCTATTAGGGGATACACACTCACACTATGACTATTCATTGTTCTACAAGAAGTCAGTACCTTTAGTAGTGTTTGTGGTTGTGTATGTAGATGATGTTATCTTAATAGGGAAATATGACACTGAAATTTAACAGTTCAAGACATATTTGGACAATACATTCAAGATAAAAGATCTTGGAAAACTACACTACTTCCTAGGGTTGGAGATGCTTGATACAACTGGAGGGGTACTCATCTCAGAAAGGATGAAGGAATGTGATTATTTTAACTATGTTGATTTGTCTTCTCCACTTGATCCTATTGTTAAGCTAAGATCCAAAGAGGCAACTTCTTTGTCTGATCCTACATACTATAGAAAGCTGATTGGAAAACTAAATTTTCTCACCAATACTAGGTTGGACATAGCATTTAGTGTCGAACAGCTAAGTCAGTGTCACGACCCAAGGGTACCCCTAGACGTAACAAGGCATATAGGACCCCGAAAGGAACCATGTAAGCTACTTAGCATATCCTAACATAAGTAAAGAACAATAAAGAGTAAAACGCATTTTCAAGTCCAAAGTTTTCATAAAGGAAAGCAAAAGTCTAGACTCGTCTCAATTAGCCATCTATTACAATCTTTGAATCAAATAGGGTCACAACCCTTGCAACATAATCTGAAAGTCTAATACAATGAAAAAGGAACTACAAAGACATCATTCGTCCTCAAATCAGGAGGACTCACCACAAGCAAGGAGAATAGTCGAATCCAAGCTTGAATACAATGAAGATCACCTCAAACACCGGACCCTACACTTGTGGAAAATGTAGAAAATATGGATTAGCACAAAAATGCACTAAGTATGATAGCCATGCATAAAAACCTTGAAAACATGCCAAAAAGGGACATTTTAGTTGAATGTATGCAATTTGCTAAATTAAAGCATCATTTGGAAGATAATGGCAAAGCATAAGTCATAAGCTTAATCAAATTATAAATCATCATATCATAAAAGGAACACATCATACATACCCTCAAAGCTTACTTGTGCAATGCATGGATAAGATCCCATAATCCCACCAATACTAAGTAAAGCTTCATGAGTAACTATAATTCATAACTCATTTTCTTGTTCATACTATCATAATAGGAAATAAGCCTTAACCGACATAGACCATGTGAGCTTATCATGGAATCCGATGTCTACGCCACACCAAAAAGGGGTTGTTCTACTTGCCTAAGGTAGAACCATACTCTTAGCTTAGGTGGATCTACTAGCTAAAGACCTATGAGGGCACATAGTTATGGGATAAGGAGATTGCTTCTAGAAACCCGGACTCAACTATGGTAGAAGGTTTCCATCTCATGAGATACATACTTTGGGAACCCGAACTCAACTAGCGTAGAATGAACCCATTTGGGAAGCCGAACTCAACTAAGGTAAAAGCTTCCATCTCATATTCATATCCACTCGGTGCTAAGCATTAATTCCCATAGATTACATATTAAGTCTTGACTTAAGTTCAGACTCATGGAAGAATTTCTTGACACTCAATCCATCATAAATCATACTAGAGCTCATAGATTCAATAGGTGAGAATAGCCTTTCAACCTTAGAATCATCATATTGTGAGAAAACCTTTCAGATCATATTATATTCATGCATAAATGTGTACATGAGGATAACCTCCAACAACACAACAACTAGATCATAATCATATTCACTTTACTCTTAAAGTGTTCTTAAATCATATACATAAATCTCATAATTATACATAATTCACATACTTTGCCCTTCAAGGACCATATATCATATTCCACCAACACATCTAGAATTACTACATTAAACATGGATTTTAACATAATTCAAGTAATTCAATTACTACATGCATAATTCTATCATATTCTACTTGCATCAATCAACACCCGCACTTTGAGATCCAAATTGGGAAAATAGGGGAATTCATGAATTCTTAGGGGGAATTCAACATAAAATCATATAAAACCATCAATATATCTATAAGAAATCATAATCAATCATTAAAAATGAATTTGAAAGGAATCCATGGGATTGAAGTCAAACCCTAACTTTTGGGATTTCTAGTTTTGAAA